CTGATGCAGGCTGGAATCAAATCCATAGCAATAAAGCACCATGATCTTATCCATGTGCCCCAAGGTCCTGGATCTAACCAGCTGAAAAAAATGCCATAGTGTAGTGACCTTTACACTTGGCATTAATCCAAGTACAGATGGATACATAAAGAATGCGGAGATTCTTCCTTGCCCCAAGAAGGAAGTCTAGGGCAATTCTGTCATCTATAACAAATGCTGGCCAGTGAGTTGAGGTTAACTTGAATGTCTTCCAGGGTTAAGGTAGTATCACTGATCACTTCTTTTTGGGAACGCCACTGAATCAGCAAAGGTAGTTCCTTTCATAGAGATCTCCACGTTCACCTGAGGACTATATGATCTACTGGTAGTGTTTCCTTGAACACTTAACAGGCTTCTTACGACTACTCCTAATGTGTAAGTTACTATGGTTTGGGGAGGGAAATAAGTTCGTGCCTGGCCTTCATACAGGAAGTACAATACCAAGGATGCTCGTGGCCTCTGGAAAGAAAGTGTTCACAACTGTTGGGCCACCCAAATGAGATCTTCGTCAGTGGTGGTGGTGGGGCAGGGGGTAGGGCACACCAGTTGACGGTGCCCTCACTGTGGCTTCCCAGATGGATGGTGAACCTTAAGCGGTTTCAGTTCAAGTCAAATACCTGAGTCTAGTCCTGGTTTTAGGAAAGAATGACCTATTTGTCTATAGTACCAGATAGGTGATATTTGCTGCCCCATGGAATGGCTAAGAGTGGCTCCAGGATGGAGGGTGGGGCAGACATAAAGACCTATTGACAGGTATTTTGCTTGGGAGGTGCAAAAGCTATTGTTATCCCTTTTGTTTCCAATAGACTTTTCAATAGGTTAAAGGGAATGGCCATCAAATTGTGGCAGCACTCTCTGGAGGTAGACGACAGCAGTCAATTAAACATTAAGTGTCCAACAGTTGAGAGATCTCCGTGTTTTCCTTCATGAGGAAAGCTATAGGGACAATTCACTGAAAAACAAAGATCATTAATATTCTCCCTCTCTTGTGTCTCTATTTTTGTCTTTGTAGGTGCTAAAGTTGTAACCCTTCCACTGCTACAAAATCAGTATGTCCCAGTCCAGCAGCTATAACTTCACCTATTTTATAGTCATTGACTAAATGTATCCAGACCTTTGGTCTAGAAGGGTCAGTTGACAAGAAGGGCAAGAGCAATGCTATAAAACTTGCAGAGATGGGCTATGGGAGTGATGCTTGCAAGATGGCGGAATAAGACATCCTTCACACGTATCTCCCCTCTTCAACAGCAATAATTTAGTATCCATCCATGGAAAAGTGCCTTCCTGGGAACTCTGAGATCCAGGTAGGGGACTGTGAAACCCTGGTGCACTCTCCAACTGAGGAAAGACATTTTGAGATGGCAGAATCACACCTAGGCAGCTGATTCACTGACTGTGGTCCTGGCTACAGACCCGGACACAGCTCTAAAACGCTGAGAATTCTGCTACCATCCCATTGGTTTTGGTTCTACCACCAACAAAATAAGCCAAGGGACCTTGGAGGAGTCACACCTACCCATCCATCAGCTAATAGGCACACAGACCTCGGTCCCAGTTGTGTGGACCCTGAAATAGCCCTTGAACAGGCTCCAGCCTCTCTCTGCTGAGGTCTGGGAGTCCCACCCTTACCCAGGAGGTAAGCCTGACAAATGCTGTCAAACTGCAGATTCTGAAAGGGGCCTGTAACTGGTCTCCAGCTCATTCTGGCCAGTCCTCACACATTCTTGCTGGCAAAGAGACCCAGCAGGAGACTTCTGGTTGCACCCTTATACATTCTGAAGGGTCCTATGTGTGGCTCTAGCTCCATCACAGAAGGCCTGCCAGCAGGCCAACCAGCTTCAGGGACCCAGCAGGAGACGCTCTGACAATACTCCCAGAGATGCTAGAAATGGCCCTATACTCAGCTCCATCCCTTCCCAGCCAGTCCATGAGCAGTACTGCTGACCCAGAAAACCAGTGGGAGACACTCCCATCTGCACCCCAGAGATCCTGAAAGGGTCCTATATTTGGTTCAATTCCCTCCCAAGCTGTAGTCACAAGCAGTCCTCCAACACAGGGATTTGGTGGGGGACATTCACATGTGCCTCAGGAGATCTTGAAATGATCCTATACTCAGCTTCAGTTCCTCCAGCCAAAGTCAGGGAGCAGTTCTACCCACCCAGGGACCTGTGGCACAAATACCCATCTGTGCCTCCAAATATGCAGACTTCAGTTGTGGCCGGGATACCTGAAACAGCCCTGGAACTTGGTTCCAGCTCCTCTCCGCCATGGCCCAGGGCCTATCCTGCCCACCCAGGGATCCATCAGTGACCAAGCAGCAGTCCTCCCTGGGACCTGGTAGGAGCTACACCCACCCATACACCTGGTAAGGGGACAGCTAAGGACACAACTGTGGAGCCTGATGGACAGACCCTTGTCCCAACATCACCCTGCTGAACAAGGTACTGGAGGCAGTCCCAGCCATCTGAAGACCAGACAGGAAACATGCCTACCTAAGACCGCAGTAACAAACCTGCCAACTACGGACACCACTGCAGACTCGTAACTGTGCATAACCCACTCCAACCCGGCATGAATGTAATTCCAGAGGTAATGTCATCCATTAGCCCAGGCGACAGAGAAGAGGTCATTATCTGCTGAAAATGGCCTTAAAGACTGGAAAAGGTATTTACTTCTTCAAAGGCACAGACGTCGATGCAAGGTTACACAGACCCCAAAGAATCAGGTAAATATAATACTACCAAAGGAAAATTAATAAAGCTCCAGGAACCAATCCCAAAAAAACATATATCTAAAATTTCCCTAACAAAGGATCAAAACTGATCCTTTACAGAAACTTAAGGAAATGAAAGAGAACACAGAGAGACAACTGAACTAAATTAGAAAAACAACACATGAACAAAATGACAAGAAAGAGAAATAAATAGAACCAAGCAGAAATCTTGGAGCTGAAGAATACAATGACAGAACTAAAAAATGCAATAGAGAGCTTGCACACACAGACTTATATACCTGCTGTATCTGTGCCATCTGCTTCTGAAGTGCACCCAGAATAAAGTTCTATGTGAGACCAGTAACGAAGGTTTGCTGGGTCAGAATGAAAACATCCTGCAGTTCAAACACTGAGTGATTCAGTAGCTACACTCAAGGATTTTCTGTTTTTCCTGAAGTAGGTACCAATATGGGAAACTGAGTAGTTTCCCATATGGCATTTGCCTAATGTTCTCTCATTTACCTTCCAGAAGAGATGCATTTTCCACATTTACCCATCATATGGAGTTCAGAGATGTTCATGCTCATTATTCTCACCCAAAAGAAGTGCAAGAGAAACTCTCCAAAGGGACATGAATGACAACCTCTTCTCATCTCTGAGACCAAAGGCAGGCTGCCCCTTACCCACCCCAAGCCTACTCCATATAGCAGTGTCAATCCTGACAACTCAGTATGTAATCCATGCGATATGCCACAGCCCTGGCAAATTCTGCTCAGATGAAACTGTCATAATTTTGGAAGTGAAGTTTACCAAGGTCCACCAATAAAAAGCAGTCTGAGTTACTATAAATAAATCAGATCTAGAACAAACAAGGTGAAGATCAAAAATAATATAGTCCATAGACACTTGGAGAGAAAAGATAAACTGCTTGAAGAGATGCATTTCCATCCAGTCACTGACATGATGTTTTATAATGTTTAAATATTTATACCCTATAAGAAGAAGAGGAAGTTATGAAGTAATTGTGGAATGTTAAAGTATGCAATTACTTCTGTGGCTCTGCCAATTTTTGCTCACATTCTAAGATGTTCTGGGCTTACTTGACACTATTTTATGATAAGTAAGATAAATACTGTCATGTCTTCCTTAAACTTTGATGAATATAAAATATCCACATTAGTAATAATAAAAGTAGCTAATACTTATTGAGTACTTGCTATGTACCTCCTGGCACTACTCTGATCATTGTACTAGGTTAATTAATTTAATCCTCACATCAGCCTCATGAGAAAGAAATATGACTACTGTCCCAATTTTATAGATTAGAAAACCAACTAGCAAGTGAAATAGCAACAATTCACACCAAGGCTCTATGCATTTCTGCTTTTCCAAATAACAGAAAATAGCCCTCTTATACCATTTAATGTTTTCTCTCTTGATACAATATTGGTACCCTGATTTCTTATTTTTCCAAAAAAAAGCCTAACTTTTCATTGTTAATGTATCTAAATGATTTTAAACTATGTGGCTAGCATCACCATGTCTGTAAAGTCTTATCTGTCTCATCCCACAAGGAATTCCTCTCTTTTCAATACTCTGAAATACAAAATTCTATTACTATACATCTAGTATAACTTTACTTTACAGGTATTATATTTTCTTTAATACTGTGAATCTAAGAAGAGAATCTAGGATTCTCTCTCTCCCTCTCTCTCTGCCCCTTCTCCCCCCATGCGCACATGTCCACTTGCTCTCTCTCTCTCTGAAATTAGTAAGTAATCTTTAAAAAATAATAACAACGGGGCGCCTGGGTGGCTCTGTCAGTTGGGCGTCTGCCTTCGGCTCAGGTTGTGGTCTCCAGGGATCATGGTCTCAAGCAGGGAGCCTGCTTCTCCCTCTCCCTCTGCCCCTGCCCCCCACCAGCTTGTACTCGATTTCTCTCTCTCTCAATAAAATCTTTTTAAAAAATTAAAAATAATAATAATAATGTTTCATCGTCTCTGTAACTACTAGTAGTCAAAAAATAACCAGCACTCACAAAATGGCTACTGAATTAAAATCATACAAACCAAAGAAAATCCTGAACGTGAAATTTCTAATGTGGTCTCTGCTGGCCACTACACCATAGTATTATACTGATACTTTTATACTGCCCATTTTTAATTAGGTTTATTATAATTCCCTATATTATGGGCATCTTGATTTCACTTACTCCATTAGTTCCTCTGCTAAACTACTTTTCCCTTACCGTTTGCCTCGTGGATAATGCCGCACATATTCTCCAACATCATGAGCAGCAACAGCTAAGACTTGTGGATCATCCGACACCTCCAGAAGTTTTGTCAAAATTCTGAAATAAATTTAATCCAAAGAGAGACTGATTTCTAGTTGTTCTACAGGGCACAACAGAGTACAGCATATTTGCAGGTATCTCCTGAAAATAGACATTTACAAATATATTTTCTATAGATATTACTATTACACATAATATATTACATATGACTTAGCAGTTTTCAAATCTTTACATATATATACCAGGTTATTTTCAGATTCATAATGTATACCACACACAATTCCCAAAATATCAGTAACTCCCTTTCCTGCTCTCTCAAAAAAGACAGCTAGGGTGGGAGTTAATGTTATTTTAATATACAATTACCAATGAATCCTTGCCAATTATATTTTGAAGATTAATCATTTGTAAGCCTTTTGTCAGTATTAAAAAGAAGTTACTTTAAGCTGTGATCAATATGGACCATGAGCCCTGAGCACACACATTCCCCACCCCCTCTCCCCCCCGCCACTCCAAGTCTCAGGAAGAACTTGAACCTGAACTTCACAAGTAAAACAATGCAAAACAGCAAGTGAATGTTTCTTTTCTTTTTTTTTTATTTTATTATGTTATGTTAGTCACCATACATCATTAGTTTTTGATGTAGTGATCCACTATTTATTGTGTCCGTATAACACCCAGTGCTCCATGCAGTATGTGCCCTCCTTAATACCCATCACCGGCTAACCCATCCCCCCACCCCCCTCCCCTCTAAAACCCTGTTTGTTTCTCAAGTCCATAGTCTCTCATGGTTCATCTCTCCCTCTGACTCCCCCCCCCTTCATTTTTCCCTTCCTTCTCC